ATATGGTCACACTGTTAAAGCAACACAAAGAGACAAACTGGTCTTTTTAACAACATATCAGGGAATAAAACAGCACTTTGTGTATGTGTGCATGAACAGATTATGGTTTTATCGCTCTCTCACCTCCCTGATCTCAAGATGGCTTCAGCTCTGCATTGGAGGAGCCGGTAAAATTGGAGCTTGTACTGTTTTCTCTCAGGTTTGTCTGGGTCAGCTCGGGGACAATAAACATTGATAACAGCCAGCTTCTGTGGTCCATCTGTGCCACTGAGAATTAAAAAAAAAATATGTGAAAACAATTTAAAGGGATAGTTCACCTTCAGTTGCTGGTCCCCATTGACTTCCATAGTACGGAAAAAAACACTATGCAAGTCAATGTGGACCAGCAACGAAAGGTGACCTATCCCTTTCACAACATATTAGGCTAAAACTACTAAATGTCCAAAAGTTAAGATCCTTAAACTTACATGAAGTAATGCTGAGTGATGACAGCTCTTCCTTCGTTGTCTAGCGACAGAAGCTCCTCACTGGACAACTCAACCTGGTCTCCATAGCAACCAACAGCCTCTCCCTGATTGGCCAGCAGACCTGTCAATCCTTCCTCGGCCAGGAATGGAGTAGCGCTATCGTTACAGTAGGTCGCAACACCTGGTCAGGGAGAAAATCAGGTTGTTCATAGTTTATACTCATAGCTGAACAGCACAGACAGCTGCAGACAGTGGTTGTAAAGACAAGGCTACATTTATTAAAAAAAATAAAAAATATGGACATGAATCCGGTGTTGAAAACATTGCCGTTTTTATTTAAAGTCTCTTTGCACACTTTACTGTCGTTTAATGGTTCTATGTTGCTGTACCTGAGTATCCACTTCGTCCTCGGCTAAAACTAAAGTATGAATTGTAGCCATCAACAATTGCTGTCTTCTCATCCAACAGGTCACCTGAAAAAAAATGTATGCTGAGCTGTTAAAGTTATTAAATGGTTAAAAATAGGGCTCATGTGCTTTATCACCCATTCAAAGTCCCGCGTTTCTTTAAAACACTTACGGGTAACTTTAGTCTCTTGAACGCAGATTATATCGGCATCGAAGGAATCCAGAGTTGTCTTGATGCCATTTTTAAACGTTCGTATGCCGTTTATGTTCCATGTTACAATTTTCATGTTTATCTGTCAAACAACGTAGGACGACTCACGCTGAATGCATGTGTGAAGTACTGACCTTATTTTTGTCCGTCTCAAATATTTTCAAAATAAAAGTCTTTACATCTGCGTTTATTCAATACTACTGGTCTAAATTAGGGATGGGAAGATTCCCCGATTCGCTCGGTGCATCGGCATAAAAAGTTAACGATGTGACGCATCGGTTTAAAAAGTGTGCATCGGCTACAAGTTGTCATTTATATCGCGATGCATTGTTTCTAACATAGTTGCATCGGTAAAAACCGATTTATTTATATATAATTACTAGTGGGTGCGCTATACTTTTATTATTTAGAAAGTGACCAATAATCTGTGACCAATATTTTATAAGTAGATTGATTTCTCCTCTCTGAACTGTTGAGAGCACCGCTGCTGCTGCGTGAATAAGATGCATCATCACAACACCACGGAGACTCGAGGAAAAACTGGGATTAAAGTCCACAATCTGACTTGAAATAACCTAACAAATCAATAGGGGCTAAAGCGGTTCCATTAGCGACTAATTAAATTCACATTCCCTCACTAATTTGTGCACGCTTATTCTTAAACAGACGTTAATGTCGATCATGGATCAAATCGATCCACCATGACAAACAGCGAATATATCTGTGCTCTTTAATGCATTTGAGACGTTGTGTTTTCCTCAGTGCATAACTGACATGTCACAGGTATATTTTTCATCTGTAAATGTTAGAAAGTCATGCAAACATATCCATTTTGCTGTCACATTAAATGTGTCTTTTGTAGAATTTCTAAACCTACATATTAAAGTGTATTTTTATGATAGCAGTAACTGTAAGTGGACGATTGTCAACGGATCGCACTGCATCGTAATAGGGGTGAATCGTATCGCATTGCATTGGTAGCTGCTTCATATGTATCTTTAATGTATCGTATCGTTGGCTATGCATCGAGATGCGTATCGTATCGGCCTCAGTCATGAGATGCACATCCCTAGTCTAAATATTAGACGGCTATGGCCCTGTAACTAACCAGTGTGCAGTTTTCCACAATTTAGTGAAGTTTAAAATAATAATAATAATAACCTTTTTATTTCTTGTATCTTTTATATATATTTTTTTAAAGATTAAGTTTTTTTTTGGTACAGAACCACTTTTAAAAGAAACAAACATAAAGAAGCCACAAGTATATTTGATCACCACAATATATTCACGCAGAAATTTTAAAATATAAACTTTTTTTTATTAGTGTTACATCTCACCCAATTCTTTCTAATGTCTGATGTTTCTCAAAATCTTTCAGATCAATTTAAATACCTTTCAAATTAATTACATTTCATGTTTTTTCTAACATGTTAAGCTTTAACTGATTACCAACAAATTAAATCAAGGCAGACCAATTGTATGTGTAGATTTCACAATAAGTTAATAAAAATACCATTTAATATTACAAAACAAAATTTGTTAAATCTTTTATTATTTAGTGTTTTGTTTATAAAAAAAAAAGGTAACTTCATGGTGCCTATTTATTTTCACTAAATAGTAGCTCATATAGTATGTCTCTGCTCATGTTTTCTTAAATATCTCACTGCAAGAATATAAGCATTTTTAAGATACAGAAGAGATTAAATCATACAAGAAAACATACAGCATATTTAGTAACTGAAGCCCTGTTTTGGCCCCAGTATAAATCAAATGTAAACATGTTTACGCAGATTCGTAATGTGACTCCAGATGAACGTCTCTTGGAGGCCTTGGAGAAATATGGTGAGCAAGCTAAGGAGGTGCAGCTCACTTTGAAGCATATTGGTCCATCCCTTGGGGAAGAAACAAACCAGCCCAAAGCCCAAATGAGGCGAGCAGAGGGGACAGGGAGAGCACGGCGAGGCAGCGGGGCAATCGCCCAACACCGCCAGAGCCTCCCACCGCTATCACGCCTCTGCCTCCACTCTGAGCCACCGCCCGAGGAACCAAAGAGACCCAAGCGGAAGTCGCTAACACTAATGGAGGAAGCATGGGGTTGGCTGGAAAACTTGGGCAGAGGTGGGAAGCAGCAATCAGGACGAGATAAGGGGAAAGACAAGGAGGGCAAAAAAGGAAATGGGCACTCAGATAACACGTCTCTGAAACCAACCAAAAGTTCCCTGGCTTCTGGAACACCACAGGCAAGAGACAAAAAAGACAAAAATAGAGTTGCGCCACAGCCTTTGATTAGTTGCCTTGGGAACCGTGGGAGATGCACTGATGAGAGTGCTGTATGTGAGAGACGAGAGGAAGAGGAACAGAAAGGGACAGAGGAAGACCTGAAAACCTTAAATCCAGTGGTTCCTCTGGTCCAAACAAGCCATCAAGAGACTGAGAGTGAGGAGATTGTAGAGTTAAGAACACTAGTTGTCCAACAACAGGCTAGTCTACAAGAACTAAAGCTCAAAATCGAGTCAACAGACCAGTTGATCCTTGAGCTTGAGCAGCAGCAAGCTACCAGGGATTTTTCCGAGCAGCTATCGGAAGAAGAGGAACAGCTCAAGTTCTGGCTGAATGAACTCAAGGCGGAGGAAGTCTTTGAGAGAGACCTTCAGAGGCAGTTCTTTTGGATAAAAGAGGAAGCTGCTGAGTGCAAAGCTAAACTGGAAGAGTACAAACAGAAACTGCAAGCGATGGACTTGAGAAACTCCCAGCAGCAAACAGAACATAAAAACATCACCGGAGAGAATATCCAAGCAGATGTGCCAAAACCTGCTCAAAAAACTGTCAAACAAATACAGATCTCAGCAGACGGATCACATGGAGATGGTGGAACAAAAAGGGTGGTCACAATGCTGGAGTCCAAACTCCCATATGTGCTTGTTTCAGCAAATCAGATATCAAATCCTCCTCCAAGCAGACCAGAAGATCTGAGGGCATGGTGGACACGATGGTCTCAGAGCCAGAATCCAACATCAGTGACAAAACCCAAGATAGTGCACCGCTCTGAAATCACAGTACAGTTGGGAAGCACCAGAGTTTAAACACTCTGAAACTTCTAAACCCCCTATTTTTTTAGGTTTCATCATGGATAACTCATTTGTGTTTAATGTCATGAAAGTGTGCAAAGGCATGAAGATGATGTTTAAAGGTTCAGTACAATGCTTTGCTGATGAAAAATGAAACATAATACACCTTTCAGTCTCATAAAATGTTTATTTCAATTGTTTCATTCAAGACCATTAACAAAAGTATATAGGAGAACCTTAAGGTTCAACACAAACCCAGGGTGCTCCAGAGAATACTCAAGACGGAAATAGCTCCATATGTCATAAGAAAAACTGCAAATAGCCTCTATCCATGTAATCAATTTTCTTTGCATGTTTTTAAATTTAGCTCATTACACTTCCCCCACTTTTCATGTTCTACACACATTTGCTCATTTTATTCTATTCCGGTTTTCAAAAAGTCCACCCAAGTAAAAGCATACATTACAGAGTATATTTCAACCCCCAGGTATGGGGGCGCGGGAGGATGGGCACCCTACAATTGCTCTTATATTTTGGTGGCTGTTCGGGGATAGAGACACCAATTTTTCTCTTTAAATTTTTGTGTTTGTTTTTAGGCACCTTTTTCTTTAATTTCTTCATTAGCAGACATGAAGTACAACTCAAAAGGGAAAAAAATTCAATTACATGTGCAAAGAAAAATAGCTATATAAAAAAGGACTGCAGGCTACAAGATGCCATTAGGAATTCTGCACTTGCCCATAAACAGATTGAGCTTGTGAAATCAGGACAGGAACAATAAAAAAAAAAAGGTTCCTTAAAAAAAAAAAAAAAAAAAAAAAAAAAAAAACAAAATTTTTTTTTTGTGTGAAAATGATCAAAAATAGTAATTTATACATCAAAAACCATACACAAGCAGGTTCTGAGCGCAGAGAAATTTTATTACGTTTTCAGATCCATGTTAAAACCAAAGGAATTGGTATGGAAAATGTGAGTGAAAAGAACCTCAAAGTCATTATTTTTCTCAGCAGAAAGAGCCTAGCAATAGCTCGACTTCACCTGGGTGAAAAACTCAACATGGGAATAATTCAAGTGATACAGGAAGAATAAAGTATATATAAAGGAAGTCAAAATACAGACAGGCAAAGCTACTCTAAAACAAGAACTCACTCAAACAGCAGCAGGTGCAGAATTCCTGGCATTTCAATTTCAGCAGAAACGAAAAACAGGTCAAACAGTGCCCACATCTCAATCTAAAGATGTGAGAACTACAAAACCCTTTCCCCTCATCTCCTCTGCATAACCTTGCAAGTTTACTTTTTCCAAACGTGATGCATACCACACGCACACGCTCATACAACACGAGGGGTTTTGCTCAAATTACAACCACACAAAAATGTCACACATACAATGAAGACAATGAGATGAGAAATTTTTTTTGCAAGGGATCCTGACACGAAGGGAATTGTGTGTGCTAATTTTCAAGTCTTGATTTGTTTGTTACTCTGTGAATTGTGTTTATGGGTGAGAGATAAAATGAGAGCGAAAGAGACAGACACACACAAATCCCTTCCTCTGCCCTCTGTCTGATTGCTTTTGTTCAAGGTGTTTCTTCCATAGCGAGGAGGAGGAAGAAGACCGGGGTGAACAGTACTCAGTCAGTAACACCAGGTTGGCGGGATTTCCTCTCTACATTGAAGCCCTGTAAGAACAAAACAGGTCAATATCAAAATGTGTCAATTGTTTTAGGCAAGTTTCATGTCAAAGTATTCTGGACTGCAGTTTTAGAAACAAGAATCCTTTTTTTTTTTAACTTATATTTTTTATAAACCTGCAAAAAGTCAGTTTTTGATTTGGACTCAAGAATCAAGAAATGGTAAACAGAAATGCAGTTTATTTATACCTTTGAATTGTCTGGGCCACGAGGCTGTCTTATAATGACAAGACGGGGGGCGTTGGTGTCATCAAGAGTGATGCTCTTCAAGCGATTGACCAGTCGGTCAGGACGAGGTGTTGCTACTGGTTTTGGACCCTCACTGTGTAAAAAATAAATAAATAAATAAACCCCCCCCAAAAAAGATATATAATTCTGGTTAGATTAATTAAAAAGCCAATATAAACAAAATATTTAACAGCTCAATTTTTTTTATATTACACGTGACTCAGATTCACGCCCAACAGTCTTACCTGACTCTGCGAACATTGCAGGCACTGCATTTGCCTGTGCGTTGGTTCAGGATAACTGAAAACTCCACTTCATCACCGGCCTGGAGCTCCAGACCATCCTGAACCTCCTTGACATGGAAAAACAGCTTCTTGCTCTCTCCAACTTCGTATGTGATGAAACCAAACTGGGGGGGAAAAAAAACACTACTTTTAGCCAGTGTCTTAATTTAAAAACTATTTCATCACTTTCTTGCATTATTAAGTTTACCTGATCTTTAACGCACTCCACCAGGGCTCTACGCTGAGGCACAATGTTGCAGGCCATCTTTTGTCCTGTCTGGGCCACTGTACACAACTGAAACTTCACCATCTCACCCTTTTGCAGACAGTCACCTTTATTGGCCATACCAACGATGCCGAACGGATAACTCTGACCCTTACTGGCTCCTGGTGAAGTGTTTGAGCAAAGAACAGTAATTAATTACAAATGAGTGGAGTTCATTGTTTCTAACACGTTTATAAAATACTCTAGATGGATTTTAAAAGGACCACACACGAACCCCCCCCCAAAAAAAACCTTCGTCACTCACCTTCCTCTGTGATCTCAATAAGGCCTTGATAATCAGTCTGAGAGGGGTCCACACTGCGCAAGGGCCGAACAACTTTCCCCAGGAACATGGTATTACTCACATCCTCTCCTACTCCATTCACTGACACACAGAGTTGTGTTATTTGCGTGAACCAATTATTAATGTATTAATGCCAAACCACTAAAAAGTCTCCGTAACATACCAGCTGCAACTTTGGTGACCTTCTCAGCGCTGATTTTGTTTCCTTTGCCCTTGGAGAGAGTGTACTCCACTGTATCCCCCAGGTCCATGTTATCCACATCCCCACATACCTCACTGCACACAAATCAGAGTAAACAATGACAACCCCCCCCAAAAAAAAAAAGTGTCAAACTAGTCAAAACCTTCAAGGAGAAACTTTTATTACCTGTAGTGGAAGAAAATCTCCTGATCATGATTGGCCGTTTCTATGAAGCCAAAGTTATCCTTCAGCGTTGCTATGTATCCCAGAAGCCTCTTGGTGCCAACAGCACGATTAAGGATCCTGAGGGACACAGCGCTTTGCTGTCCGGTGCGTTTCACCTCACTGATGGAGAACTCCACCTAGTGGAGACATGGGGGTTTACATTAAAGGGGTCCTATTATGCTTTTCACTTTTTTTATTTTAGTCAGTGTGTAGTGTGTATGTTTGGGCATAAAAAAGATCTAGAAAGTTACAAATCTCAAAGTCCACTCCAAAGTGAGGTATTTCGTTTAAAAAAAATCCCTTTTCAAGAACTACAACGAACGGCTCGTTTGGACTACAGCGTTTGTTTTCCAGGCTTTGTGATGTCACAAAGGGGCTCATTGGAATATCATTACAAATAATTCCCGCCTACAGAAATT